TAATGTAGGCGGAACAGTGCAGATTCCGAATATCTATACCTCATAACTTACTATATAGTCCACATTACAAAAAAAATTTTGCCCACGAAAGATTCTTTTTTCAATTACAGGTTTTTTCCGGAAATTCGTCAGCTGGAACAATATTTTTATCGCTATTCGATAGCCCAGACTTTGAAGTATTTATGAGGGTATTTGAATTTCGAAAAGGGTTACTTTCAGTTTTTCTCCAAAAACCTTTTTCCACTTGAAAAGTGTTCTAAGACATGTCAGTCGATGCAAATTTTCGCGCTGAATCCAAATATGTATAAATTGTAGGAAAAAATAACCTTGAAATAGAGAAAAAACAATTTTATACAGAAAACCTGTAACTCCGTATAGAAAAATTTGGGCATCAAGACGAACATTTTGGCGTAAAAATGAGTGAGATTAGACCTCCGCTAAGTCGCGCGTTTCAATTATACTGAGAATGTATTTTTCTTATACGACCGGTTTTTTTTATCGAATATTTCGGCGAGGAAAAGTCGTAGAATAAACATTTTTGCTCCATTCGATAGCGCAGTTAACGAAGAGAATCATTTCTATCATTTACTCGGAATGAGAATTCTTGCACGTGGTAGAGACCTGTTTTGGGCCCTTGTTGTAGCACCCTCTCACGAATAGTTGCAAGTGGCGCGATAAAAAAATTTCGTTACCACACTTTGACATGACATTCCCTGAAAGTTTGCTTCGGATTAGACCTAACTGGGCTGAGAGAGAGGTGTCTGATCCGAAGTGTGGATGGGAGGAGTGGAAAACCTCGATACAAATATTTTATTATTTTTTGTGTTTATCTAACAAATAGTTAACTAACTATACAAATTAAAACAGTTGATTGAGTAATTGATGTTTTATTATCAGTAATTTGAAAACTTTTATTGGAAATAGTTTTATAATTACAACAATAACACAATTAAGAGTCACCAACAGCTCAAATTCATGTAAAATAATTCAACCATATGACGGATATACAAGAAGAAATGAAGAATAAAAAGATGGACATTTACATGTGCAAAAACATTGGCTCATCTCGATCTAATAATTCATATGATTACGATCAGTATGCAAAAAAATGTCGTCACTCTATCTCTAACAGATTTGTTGTTTTGTGCAAAATAAATAGTTTAAATTTTATCGATTCAAAATAGAGATCATCACTATCCTTATGTAACCTTCTTGAATTTGTCCTGATCACTTTCGTATTTTGTGCAAGGCTAATCCATCTGTTATAGCAGAAGATACTGCTGAATTTATCAAGTCTTCCTCTTAATCTTCTATCGTATTTTGTTTCTTAATATAAGCAATGGGATGTGATGTCAATTAATTTTTCTTCTTTCAATAATTCAGATAATTCCTGCCATAATTAATATAAAAATAAAGTTAATTCTAACAATTAACTTAAATTTTTTTGTTTTTACTTGACTTATTTCATCAAAACGTTTTTAAATGAAAAAGAAAATCGATGTACTTCCAAGTACATCAATATCTTCAAAATATTTTTTTCAGTAAAATCTGATACCTCATTGACCATCTGAACAAAAATAGATGACGAATTCTTGTATTAAAATATCAAATAAACAAACTCGAAAAAGTATGGCATTCATTCATCATTATTATCAGACCAATATAGATTTTTTAGCACTTAAAACAGAAGAGAAATTAGGGAAATGACGATAGATTATTACATAAAAATCAATAACATACGATTGTTATTAATCTTTATTGAATTACATTACAACAAATAATATTGGTATTCTCTGACGTAGGATATAGCGAAGAGTACTTTGTCATAACTTATCGACTATGATGCCTCGAATAGACACGTACAAACACGTATGCAGCATATTCTTCTGTTAATCAATTGAATCACCAAAAAATGAAAAGTAAAACGACTTCTTTTTCCCTTTCACAACCTTTAAGAAACTACTCAAAAGTCTTCAAAAGGTATATCGTCAAAGCAAAGAAGCTAGAACTCGTTCAAAATTAGATACTTGGATTATGCTACTAGGTAGGTATACATCTTAAAATTGATGTTTCTAAAAAGGAAGTGGTAGTAAACCATGCTGTGTCGCCTGTGCTCACAGATCAGATTATTAAGTACAGTCAAATGTTTGATCAAAATGCTATTATATTTCTGTCGATTATACTCGAACACTTCTATTCAAACTAAACACAGACTAAATGTTTTCTGTTAAATGGAATTAATAAAATTTTGTAATAGAATAAAATAAAAAAATGAGACTTCTCACAGTGCAAGACAGATGTTTATGAAAAAATCTGTATGTTTTTGAATTATTATGACACATCAATCGAAAGTTAATTGTTAAAATGATTTCGTATTGCGAACAACGACAGTGACAATTTTGTATAGAAAACAACAACATATTCTGTGATGGCAAATGCTAATCGGCTGACTTACCCACAACAGTACTATTACCAAAACAAAGTTAATCCTTATTATGATAACTATACCCAATATTATCAACATACAAATCCCTCTCATATTAATACAGATAGGGTATTTCCCAACTATCCAATAGATGAATTCGGACAACCAATTTATCCATCTAACACAGTACACTTGCCAGCAATAGTCAATAGTATACAACAACCACAATTTTCTCATGCTTATCCAAATTATTATCAACGGCACCCATACCCAGTTTATCAGCCAAAACATAATCGCATTCCAAGAAAAAAACATCGAAAAAGATATCATAGACATGATTACAGAGATAATTTATACTATAATTCTTATAATCCCTATCAACCTTACGTTCACGATTATAGAGAAGACAAACAACAACGTTTACCAGTAATTCCAGTCAGTTTACCGGTTAGTTAATGCTTCTACTTAAAATGAATCTCTGCTCCATTTCCGCAAAAAGTTATCGAAAAAGATCAAAATATATCTTAGTGAATACACTTTCGAGCGTGTACTTGCTTACTCGTGAATTTCTGTCGGTACTAGGCATGCACCGGTTAAAAACCGATATTTTTAGCTTTTTTTGGAAATAGATTGTATGAAGAGTATGGCATATTAATGTTGATTAATTTTTCTTACAACTGAGTTTTGTAGAACGAACATTTCTCTATTAAATGAGTTATGGGGAATCTTTCCATCTTTTCTCTTTTCCTTGCAATCGCCTTTTTACGAAGAGTCCCATTTATCGATTTAGGTTATGTAACCGAAATCGATAAATGGGGCAATTATTAAAATTTTTTTCTGATAAGTGCTGGATCGAGATGAAGATTGCTCTTATTTTGTAGAGAAGTGTTTGCTCTACAAAATTCAGTTGTGAGAAAAATTTAATATGCCATACTCTTTGTACAGTTTAGTTTTTGCGAAAAGAGGATAACAAAACGGTTTTTAACCGGTACATGTTCAGTCAATATTTGACAAGAAACTTGGCAAGCACTTTCATATAAATAACAGTTGGTAGATATTTGCCGGAGTTTCTGAAAGTACTTGCCAGATATTTAATTCACCTGTTGAACCTCTCACATAGACTCGCGAGTTACTTGAACAAGTACCTGAGTAAGTATTTGATAAATAAGTAAAGTAATTTAAGTACGCAATTTTATTGGCAAATGCTTAATTTTCTTGCGAAAATCCCAGGAATGTTGGACAAAACTTGCAGAAGTATTGAGCCAAATACTTGTATACAAGTACATTCATTAGAATAAATTTTTTAGGTAATTTTCTATTTAATTCATCTACATAGCCCTTTTTTTATCATTTCCTTTCTCTCTTCTAGCCTCATGATGATGATAACTATCCCACCCATCGTGACCAACGAAATCAACCTGACTTTAATGTAATTGATTTGTCAGAACGTAATTCATCAACAAATTTTTCTGATCATGACACCAAAAGATCGACAAACAGATATAATCAACTGAGACGTTCCGATTATTACTAATGTAAACTAATAGATTTCATTACCTGGCTGCATAACAATTTTCAGTTAAATTAGAAAAAATTAATGCAAAGATATTTGTAGCAACCGACGGTAATCTCTGTTTTGTCTTTCTTTTACTCACGTCAATTATGTTACTCGTTACAAAGTACATTAAAATGTTTAATAAAAACACTAATTTACTCTGACTGATTCAACAAAACGAACATGTAAAATTTCTTATTCACTATGAATAGTAGTTTTGTTGAAAATTCAATGTGGGCTTGAGACTAATGTGATTATGTATTTTATTACCATTGTGATTAACAGCAAACAGATTCAAGAAATCTTGCCATTGATTGTAGAATGTTATTTTTCCAAAATTAGAAGAAGTTGTCATTAAAATTATGCTCAATTATGTCATTCAAGTATTATTTGACAAACAGCATGGAAATTCATTATTATCAAGGTTCACATTAGCGGTATTTCAAAACATGGATATCTTTTCTATCTCTAAAACTCACAAAATTATTTTTATTGATCAAACGAGAAATACATAACTCTGGATAAAAAAAATGATGAAATAAAAATTTATGTCGTATCGTGTATTATACAGAACAATAACATGATAAGAGCACAAAGCGTAGCAGAGATAAAAATAAAATACGGTATTAGTATTTTTTAGAATTTTATATTCAACAGTATGTTTAGCTAAACAGGGCTTAATAAATAGGTGTAAAAATACAATAGTAAAAAAAACGGGGAAAAAACGCTCACTCACACACGCACACACACATACACACACACTGTTGTTCATGTACAATCGATACCATAAGAATAGTTCGATTGACCAGATAATGTCACTCAAAAGAGAGAAGAGAAAAAAATCAATATAATAAAAAAAAACTGACAAAAAAAGAGTATTTAAAAAAGAACGACAATACACTGCTTTCGCTGATTCGTATAACCGCCCATAATGCTCATAATATTTTAAAAATACGAAAGCTAACAGGAATTGATGATGAACTGTATAATCTTCTTATAGTATACGAATTAATTACGATATTATTCCTCTGCTGCTTCTTCACCCGAAGCTCCTTTAGCAGCCGATGCACCAGCTGCTTGATCACCACCAGGTTGACGTGAAAACCCTTTTTCAAGTTGTTTACGATTACGTTCATGAGGATGTAATTTATCCTGGTAACAACCTAAAAGGGTAGGAAAAAAACTTCTAAGTTAGCACATGCATAGTCAATGGTAATGCGTATACCTTCGAATAGGTTTCAGCACTCTACTCTATACACAGAGATAACAGAAAATGAGTTTTGCATCAATTAGATTTTTTCGAGATATAATTGATTAAATTCAAGATTTTTCACAACGTATGATGCGAAAAATGAGATAGCGTTTAGAGCTTATCTATAGAAAACTTCCGTGATTCGAGTTTAAACAGTATATTTCCACTGGATTCTTGATTTCGTAATATTTTGTTCTGGCTTCGTTTTTTCCCTTTATCAAGAGCTTTACAAAATTATAAGACACCTAGACAAATGCAATGAAAATTGTTTATTTATTTCATTTAAATGAGTAATTCCATTCCATAGTTGTTGAACTCTCTGTATTTCTTTAAACGTTAATGAAATCAGTATTGTTTCAATAACATAGAACTCTATGAAATCATACGACGACATATTACAAATACGGATAAAATATTGGAAGATATTGCATCTTATGTGGCTTTTTAACTTAAAGTGCTACAAATTCCTGCAATGGTTTAATTCTCAAAAGAAAGTAACTCTATCAAAAAAAGTTTTATTGTATCAAAATACGTTAAAAATGAAATTTAATAAAATCTCAAATAGAAAATTTTTTTAAAATCTTTTTTAAAAAATCACTGTAAATACTCGAAAGTAATTTAGGTAATGTGCAAATTTTCACTTCAACAGTAGTATCTTTGCAGTTGACCTTGGATTCTCAATTTTCTAGAAAAATAAACTTTTAGGAAATATTCGATAGACATCTGTAAAACTTTGAAATGATAATATTATAATGATTAATAGATATTTATTTTAAAATAAAAAATAGGAGCTTTTTTCGACACATCAAATAAGTAAGTAATGATGAAAACATATTGTATGATTTTAGAAAGTTCTAGATTATTGAAACAATAGTAATTTTGTTCCATTCTGTTTTTAATATTTAAAGAAATACAGAGAGTTTAACAACTATGGAATGGAATTGCTTATTTAAATGAAATAAATAAACAATTTTTATTGTATTTGCCGAAGAATCTTATAGTTTCGCACATTCTTTTAATCTGTATACATATAACGACGAAAGTTTTGATTATCATTCTTACCCGAGAATAACATGTTTCAAGAGAGTATACATAAAAAGCTTACTTTTGCAATAAATATCATTTGAAAAATCTTTATATGATGCCAATGTTAGTAAACCATTACCTATAAATATATTCACATAGATTCAAATCTTAGTATACTGATACTAGTTAACGAACAATAACTTACAAGTTTTGCATTTAAAGCATCCTTTATGCCATTTGGCACTGCACGCCGACACAGCTTCATTTGCATATACCGTTTTTTCACAACGTTGACATTTGTCACCGCCACCACCCCATTGAGGCATTGTTAATTAAATTACAAAAATAATAATAAAATACTAAAAATAAAACTATTTCATTTTAATTACGTCAAAGAATTATTGATTCACTTTTAGTAGATGGCACATAGGAGCGTGATAAATGGATGGGGATATCCCCCTTCCTGCTTTCTAAGATCTTTTGATTTTGCAAATGTTTTTTTTTTCAAAGTATGAAACGGTATTCTCAGACAAGTCAGAAAAAAGCATTATCAATTTCTATGATCATTGTAAAAATGTGGGCCAAAAAAATTATTCTACTCCTATCCCCTTAGTAAAATAAAGGGGACTATTTAGTACCAGCTGCTGGAAAACCTGGAGACCATAAATTGCGATTTTCACCAACTTCGAAGTAGTTGTAGATTTGTCTTTTATTTCCTGATTATGTGAGTGTACAAGACAGACTAAGAACTCGAGTTTCCGAAAAAATTGAACGAATTTGCTAGAAAGAGGTTGGAGAAAGCACAGATTTCGGAAAAGCCCATAAGAGGCATCTAACAATTTTTTCGACTATATGGTTAGAAAGAGCATGTCATAAAATCTATTTTAAACCGTTAGGAGCTAGATTTTAAGAAATGTCCGCATCGTAAGCAAAAATTGACCAGTGTGATTCAGCTCGAAAGGTCAAGGTACGTTCCTTATGATATACGGATGTTTTACCACTCGTTTTGTAGTTCTTCAATGTTCTTATCGTTTCAGATTACTTCTTCTTAACAGGTACTCTTTAAAAAGTTAAACAAAATGCTTAAAAAAAATGATATACGGCAACTAATGTATCAGCGAAAGTCTTTAAAAAACCATTGAAATAGTTTGTTTGATACTAATGCTAAGTGTTAGATAGCGATTGTCTCGCATGAGGGTCAAAAATTAATTCAGATGGCTGGAAATAAAACCAAGCAACAAAGGTATGTGCCATGATTCTTGCACCCAAGTTCATAAAAATGGAGTGATGAACCAATCGTAATCGTCCCTTAACGGACCGTTTTTCGGCCACCAGGACGTTTAACTGGGGTCATTTGACGATCAAAAAACGGTTCATTTACTCTCTTTTTCCAGACTATGTTTTAATCATAAACGGACCGCTTTATGAACGTATTTCATTTTTGACTTCCTCAAAAATAGTGTTTCTGCAGTTTGTTTAATTATTTTGGTTTTGTGGTTTCGGTACGATTTCTAGCGTCAATCCTAAGACCGATCATAGATATATCTGATCTCTATATCCTTTCGTAACTTCCAATGTATGAAGAATCACATACATCGATTTTGGATGTCAAAACTAATATGTTCAATGTAAAAAGTAGGAATTTTTTTATGAATGAATACATCAACAACATTAAATCTTCGAATTGATTTTTCAGAATATGATTCGGCGTTGTACATACCCGTATTTAGAAAAAAAAATGAATAGTAATATAATATTACCTACTTAAATGATGAGAAGAATATCGTATTTTGTTTTAATTCGTACAGATGTAAGAGAGTATCTTTAGGGTTAAGTATGTACGATAATAGTTGATAAAACTTCGTCTTGTATGATGTTTAGTTTTCTTTCTCTCTTCTCCCCCCTCTCCTATTCTCTTCTCCTGTTTTTTTCAAAAAAAATCGTTCGCTTTATTTTCTTCCGTTATACATACGTATTACGTACGTATGCACATTATCCACGCAATATTATTATTCTCTTTTCTTGTAAAAATACTTGTTCTTCCTCGATTTTGCACATAAATAAAAATGACGAAGAAAACTCGCTAACCTTGGCTTTACAGATTGTGTTTGGTGTTTTTGTATATGTGTACGGTTTTTCTCTTCTAATATTATTGCTGTGTGATAAGCCTCATCGAATAATTTCGATATGTGTTTCTTGTCGTTGTCGTCACATATGCTTTCCAAAAGAAGAAATGAATTTTTCGCTCTTTTATTGTATATTAAACTGGGCTATATAGATAGTATAAGAGTTTTTCTATTTTGTTTTTGTTATTATGAGTATTAGAAAATGATGATGATGTATTTGATATCAGTGTGCATTTTGTGCTGTCAATTGCAACTTTTTTTTCCTGTTCTAACGTCTGATTATCCTTTGTGCTGTAATATATAATGAACCCTTTAGAAAATATGTGTGAATGTTGTTTATTTAGGGTGGAGAACGTTATAGTTTGTGTATATGCCAGAGTCATAGAACATTCTATTCTATATTCTATTCTGCATGGAAATAACTGATTATTAATATGTAATCGCAATAATACTAAACGTACATAATGTACAGGCGAAAAAAATACTACAAAAAAATTAGCCTGATCGACAACAGATTTCGAAATGGAGGTGTATATATATGAGAAAAATGTCGTCAGTAAGATTTCATGAAAGACTGACATCAATTTAAATGGTTATGGAAATGGAGGGAAGAAATTTACTGCGAACGTGTTGTTAAGAACTAAAAGATTGCTCATTGAATTTAGCATATTATGCATAGAAAGCGGAATTAACACAGATTTTGGACTATTAATCAGCTATTCGTCTAAATAGATGCGATCCACACAGTAAAATGGTATCGTCCCGATTCGTCGACAAATCGGACACTTCAGAGAATATACATCAAAGAATTTCAAAGGCGGGAGGGGCGGTGTGAGAGTGAGTGTCGACGAATTGGGACTGAATCAGTAAAATTATTCACACAAAAAGATTTTCAAGAAAATAGGTTTCGTTCTTATTTTTCGCCGCGAAAACTTAAGTCAAAAAGGAAATAAATGGTTAATGTAGTCATTTATTGACATATACCGATTTTTCTATGAAACTTTCTCAGTTCAAAAACAAAGAGGTACTATAACAATGGAAAAAAGGCAATTTATATTTCCAGTAATCAGTTGATTTTGGTTGAGATCAAATGTAATGAAATAGGCGTATTGATCTACAAACATCATTTGATGATTAGTTATTATATTCTGTTTATGCTATTTTCCAAAACAAAACAAAATAAGAAAAAAATGTCTCTCTCTGCTATCCTAGTGTGTGTATGTATGCCATTGTTTGTTGATTAATAATAATAATATGTCCATTATGATATTATATACATAAATATTTTTATTCTTTTGATCTTTCATACATTTTCAATGATAAGCAGTTGAGGTAGATATCTTGTACGTTTCTATTATCAATCATAATGAACTGAGTTGGATAGACAGAGAACGAAATAGTCGTTTTGTTCGAATACTTCATTTATCACACTTTTCCTTCTGCTGCTATATTCACAATCTAATTTTTTTTGGAAGTTATCAAATTGACTGATACATATACAACATAGATAGACATATAGTAGGCAGAGAGAAAAAGAGAGACAAGCTGTATTTTCGTGTGTCATGAAACTATTATCTTTATCTTTGCGTCCACGAATCATGTAGACGCATAAAACGATCTGTTAGTGTCATATAAGGGTTTGCATTATATTTTGCAACCTTGCACAAATGGGTTATATATAGATGTAGATTAATAATATATGGAAAAAATATGATTATTATAAAGAAAAAGAATATGTCAGCAGACAAGAAATATATAAAAGATTGGAAATCATTTCTGACTATATATAAACAAAAATAAACAGGCACAATACATAAAGCATACGTAAACTACTGCAAAATAGTGGAATACAATGACTTACATGGGGTGCAAACAATAATAATACGAGATTCTCCGCCTAGTACCGTAAAACCTAAACCACAGAATTCACAAGAGTGAAAATCAAGGTGTTTTTGCTGGTATAGTGGAGAATTCTGAGAGTGTTTTTGGCATGCTCTTATCTACTATAAAAATTTTCTAAATTCGTCCGTATTTTGGATACTGGAGTTCAGCCTAGGAGAGTAAGTGTTTACGTTGATCTGGCATAAGCTGATAAGAGATCGGCAACGTTTTAGACTTGTCCAAAGATCCATACTTCATATATTGGTTTGTCATAGCACTTCTCGTGAAATCTCATAGATAACCTTTAGGACTCAACCACGTGCACATACAAACTCAGAAATACAAGACAATTAAGCGAAAAATGTTTAAGCTCCATGAATATTCATTGATCTTAAAAATTTTAACTCTAATGAACTCAAATTACAGATGTATGCGACCCACTCTATATTCTACCCTTATAGGGTTTGTATATAACGTACACCTATAACGCAAATCTGTTTTACAAAAATAGTCAACCATAATAGCTGACCTAAGCGACTGCAAGTGGTCTGTGGAGATCCCGAGATCTCAAACCCATATAACTAGTAGTTAATACTTAAAATCCATTTTAGATCTCTTATGCAAGACGCTTTTCAAGTTTTATGCCATTATTCATATTTGTATAACGGTTTGGCACTTTATAATCATCTAAGACTTTTCAGTAGAGATTTAAGAAGTGATCAAAAGGGATATTCGGTTTTCAGTTCCGAAACCGAGAACTGCGATTTCGGTTCTCTGGTTAGAACCGAAACGAAAAAAGTCGCGGTTCTTGGTTCTAAGTGTAGAATCGGAAAAGAATTTTTCAGCCAGTAACGATATAGAAATAAAAACGAAAATATTTTTTTTATCTCTGGTTAAAAATATAACGATTCCGAAAAACAGGAACCAACTAAAAAGCCATGGTGTTGGTTCTGACAATGGAGCTGGAACCGCGATTTCGATTCCGGATGAAGAAACGAAAATAAGAGAACCGCGGTTCGGTTTCTCATACGGAACCAAAAACCGAACATTCTTAGTGACCAAGGTTTTTGGTCACGCTTACATTACAAATATCTAATCATCCCAGCAATGAATACGTTTGCTGAGAGGTTATTTTTGACAAATGGTAAATGAGTACGTTTATGTACGGAACATTTGAATAATTAATGTTTTGATAAATGTAGGATAAAACAAAATCATGACTTTGTCTAATGAACGGATGACAAACACACTAGTTAATCAAAAACAAGGCTGAAAGGTAGTTAAATAAAGAACAGATTTGTAGATTTTTATTTAAAAAAAATTAGTTTTAATAAGCTTGTTGACTGATTATACATGAAGAAGTGCTAGTTGACTGTTAATATTCAGCCAGATAAGCAATCACATTGCAGACAACCTGTATATACTACATTTACGAGATTATTTCTTTTAACTCCTGTCATTGCTACATGAAGGCCGTATTTTCCGTTCTACTCTTCTGATTTTTAGTTCTAACAATTCGCTCGAACATCATAGAGAATCTAAACGACGGCATGAGTTTTAACGGAGTTATGAAACCAAAAGATCCTACCACTTCATTGAATAAATATATACTTTGTTAGATGCTTGAAGAACTAGAAGAAAAAAGTAAAAACTCGTACTGTAATAACTAACTACTGTATTAACTGTAAAATAATAGTCTATTTACTTGTTTTTACCTAAAATAACCGCACTATAACGCCTCCTCCGTCAGAAAATTGATCTGGATAAATAAAAGACTGATCTAAACCAAACTTTCGGAAAATGCTGGTTCAATCAAATCATAATGTCAATAAATACTATTTACGGGCGTTTAGATGTCACCGAACATGGATCAAAATGAAGAAATTCCTCGTATATTCATGCTTTATTATTCCCAATTTTGTAGCATCTATATAAGATGAGAAATCTAAAAAAATTCTGACAGTGTGGAGACATATCCCGATCGGGTGTACTTCCCAGCAGGATATTATATCCCGACCTGAATATCTTTTTTTACAGCAAACTTTCTTTAATATCCCGAACAGGATATAGTCTGAAATTATATCCTGATCAGGATATAATTCGATGTCCCGATTGAGATACAAAAAAAATCTATATCCCAATCAGGATATCAAAACATTTTTGTTGATTAGCGTAATTTCTAACTTCCACATTAACATGTTTTTCACCAAATCTAATCAGTTTGAAAGGGGTATTGCCTCACCAGGCAATATGAGTATAAATGAGTTGTAAGCAAGTTGTAATTCACTTACAAAAAACATAAGGCAATTTATCTGCACGAATCAATAGTTGGAAAATTCCCCGTTAAACACAAAGCACGTATACTTATCTATTGTCGATGCATGAGAAAAGAAATGTGTTTCAATATATGTGTGCATCGAAAAGAAAGAAATAAAAAAAGACGGTGGGTGTGGAAAGCGATTAGATCAAGAGTATATCCTATCCTGAGCAATAAAAAGTTAACTGCCTATTTCCCGATCGGGATATAAATTCGACTAAAATTTGATAAAAATTTTTATTCGAAAAAATAGTGTGCTTGATATACTTTTAATCAAACACAACAGAATCCGATGTAGTTTTTCGAACTCTTTCTAATAGTGAGGTCAATTTTTCTCCGTAACGTCGTCATTTTCCCCTTAATCGTTTTTACGAGGCGAAATTTTGTGTTTTATATCTCAATCGGGATATTAATTTTTTTCTATATCCTGATCGGGATACAGGAGATGTCCCCTTACTGTCTGGCGCGGCGAAGACAACCAACAGATCACGGCTGATTTTTTTTGGGAGTTTTGTATGGTTGTTTTGATACTAAAATAATTGAAAAAATCGCAAAAAAGATTTCTTTTTTTATAAGTTAACTGTTTAATGATTCTATTAATAACGGAATGGATGTTTGTAAATTATAGTTCTGGCCTCTTTCATGCACAAAAAACCTTTGCAAGATGCGCAAGTACTTCCTACCATATTCTTACCAAGTCCTCAAGCCAAATGAATTGTTTGACACGAAACAGCTGATCGAAATTTGAATAGAATTCATGTATTGTTTGACAAATAAATTCTTTCATATCGTCATTAATCGCTGCTCCCTACAGCTCAAAGAGATAGAATTTCTAATAATGGAAAACGTGCATTAATGTAAACTTCTATGCAACATCGAATCTACATTCTGTAATATCTAATGCTACAATCTGGCATGCTTGCTGATAATCGTTCAAGCAATCAACGAGATAATCAAAGTCAACTTTTAGAGTTTTTAAATTAGGAGCCAGTAACAGAACCCTATTTAAATGCGATACGATGGCCACGGTAAGAGATTTGAGTCGAATGAAACTGAGCATTTTTAGCCATTTTTAGCCATGTATTCATAGACGGTCGAGAACACGATGTATTCTCTATATATTTCACCGACAACATTATCTCAACATACGGCATCATTTAATTCAGTTGAAAATGTAATAAACAATGACTCCTAACGAGAACCAATCTCATCTTTCGAATCGAATTAACCGTATCGTAGATGATAATGAGCAAACATTACTCCATTTAACGAATTGGTATCAAAGAAAAAACTGCCTGAGTATTCTAAACGATTGGTCCACAGAGATCACTATCGTTTGTGATTGACAAGTGGAACTGTTATACAAAATCTCCTGTTCTATCAAAAAATATTCATTTTAGTTTAGTATTATTTAATATCGGTTGTATCATTACGTCATTCTGTGATTTTATTCGTTATTTAACTATTCATTCTCCGACCTTATTTGCTTTAAACGAATTTCATAGCAATAATAGCATGAACTATCAACTTGTTCGTCATCTCAAATCGAATTATATTGTTTTTTTCTACACGGATCTAATGCATTTGACGGAGTTGCTCTCGGTCTAAACACTGGCGTACAACATAAACTCATTGAAACTTTGTCTAATCTTTGAAATTTAATTTCAAAGTCGTTGACATATACAACAAAATAAGACAATAACTGTTGTTGCTTATTACCCGCCACCGTTAGAAGCCATTCCAATGAACTTCTAATCAATTGTATAGACATAGCAAAAGTTTAACCCTTGTGGATGACTTGAATGCACATAATCAACTGTGGAATAATGTGAAGCGAAATATTAAAGATAAAAAATTAGCGAAGTTGTTAGACGATCATAACGATTTGAAAGTAGTCAACAACAACTTAGCAACATCCAGAAGACCGAAAGCAATAATAGATTTATGCATAATACCGTTGAACATCTCAACTGAATTAGCATCACTCAATCACTATTGAATGTCGCCATCACTATTAAAGCAAACGAACTTTTTTCTGTTCGAAAGACAGACTGGTAATTATTATTCTAGATAATACTCGAAAGAACGCAGTCATATTGGCATCGGCTGTTTCAACAAATGAAAGATGTTCCGGAGGGACTATTCATCTTTGTTTCAGTTGCTCTTCAACGACGATGTATCACATACTTCACTTCGAATGTATAACAAATAACTTTTCTACTTGAATGAAGATACCCAAGTCTAAGACTCACGACCGTATACTACAGTATTCTGACGTAAAGCTGGCTAACGTATAACGTCCATCGTAAACGACATCGTTTACGTTCAAATACGACGGTCGCAACGGCTGACGTAATACGTTGGCCGGGTTTACGCCAAAATACGACGAAATACTATAGTATACGACAAATTACGTCGTCGTAATTTGACGTATACGACCGTATAGGACGGTCGTAATCATGGATCTGGGTACTAGCCTTTCATCGCTTACGAATTGTGATAGGTCTAAGAGTAGACTTTTCCGAAAACATGGCCACTCAAAAGCCTCCAAAGATCTACTTATACTAACAAAAGATCAACTGATGTAATGTATATAAATCAGTTCATTTCATGAAACAACAACTTTTCTCTTTTTAAGAGAACAACAAATGAGCAACAAATGTACTATAATTCTTCATTATACTTGTCAAATGCATTGCATAATTCATCATCGTCCATATTGTCATTTTCAAGCAATGTTTTTCGTTCTTTTAACGGTGCTTGCACATCATTAAAATCGATTAGTTTTTGCACAATGCTTGGTTGTTCTTGTTGTTGTTCATTTTCGTACATTGATACTATCTAAAGTATTCAGAAATAACAAGTATAACACAGAGATTAGATCATATTAAAATGTTTTAGTGATCAGTAACCGAAATATGAAATAGAACATACATAACAATAAGTAAACTAAAACAATATACATGACAATAAACGTTCAAATTTGCTCACGAATAAATTTATTTTGCCTTCTATTTTTATAATATCAACATAAAATAAACGGAAAATTCAATCACATACGTAAATATGATGGATGCAGATCATAATACTTATAAGAAAAATGTTTAACGAAGTAGATCGCTTTAAGACGATTACTAGTCGATGGCTTTTCTGATATTGTTTACCCACGTTTTCATTCATTTTCGGAATCACCACACCTAAAGAAATATTGATTCTCGAACTCTCAGGAATCCGATGCACAGCCTGAACCGGGAAAAATTAAGAGTTCATTTAGTTTCCATTGTGGAGAGTACGTTTTGGACTATGTATCTATGAAAAAAACTGATAGATTGCTATCTCAGTTTCTGGAGATTCGACCTGGTTTTCCAAAGATTCCATGGAAACTCAGTCTTCCGAATGTTTTCGGAGAACGGTTTTGCCGACAAAAATATAGGCTGAACTGTCCTCTTTTGATTGCCAAAAATCGCAAATCTTTACCTTTTATCGTCTTGGAGTTATTCTAAAAACAACTACCTGCCTTATATTTTGGGATGCATAATAGTTGGTAAGTTAATAAGATGCACATTTTTAATATTTTATCCTTTTGAGATGTGCTTAGCCGTTTATCTCCAACACTCAAACAAAATTACTTAAGGAGACTTCGCAAACACATAAGCATACAAATTTTGGAATCTCTTCATGCTATTTAAAACTTGGCTTTGAAACAGAAGTCCGACTTTTCTGCTGTGGTTATTGTTTAATCCGTTGAAGGCGAAGTAAACAACACAAATTCAAAAAACTAACATGAAGAGATAAAAAAGCACAAGAAGGGGAATACATTTCGTTTGTTTAGTTTTAATTCTGAAAAAACGGCAATAAAAAAAAGCTAAAGTAATGGAGACAGAACCTATTCTGTTTAGTAGCTGGTGGTGCTTTCCAGTAACACTTCTATAGAGAAAACGTGAGAAGAAATTTCGTTTATATAGAGATTTGCGAAATGATTTCATTGGTTAGTGTTAGAACGAGGAAATTTTTCGATCTCTTTTTTATTTCCTTGTTGTTATATCATTTTTCGTTCCATTGTTCTCTCGTTTCTTCGGACGTGAGAATTTTCTCTTTTTCCTTAGGTAGAACTAGCTGAATTTCTTTAGTCCGTTATACGAATATTGTGTTATATTGCAAGTCGCCTATTATTCACGTTAATTGTGTGTGAAACTGAAATGAATAGTATGAATAGTAAAAGTCAGAGGTAGTCCAGTAGCTAAATCAAATCTAATTATTAAGAAATTTAATTATGTAATAAACTAATTTATCTGTTCTCTTTTTGTCTTGCTAAAGTCATTTTGTGTGATTTGAGTGATGTGTACAGTATGACAACATACTTATTTTTGAATATGAATTTGTAACTTTCAGATGTCTACACAATTTTCTACTCCACAACTTCCTACATTTATAACAGCAAGTAATAAAGAAATTCCAGTTCCAAAATCAACATCACTTGCTCGTGCTGCACGTTTATTGGAAGAGAAAAAGTCAGATTCTGATGAAAAAGATGTCAGTGATGAAGACGATGGAGATTTTTTTTATGGGGAAAAAAATTCAACAAGCGCACGTACAATAGCAGCAACAACGACCGTTGATGAAATAGACGATGACGAATTAAGTCGAGTAGGTTATCGGTGATCATTCTAAAATATTTAATATGATCCAATCTCTGTGTATCTTATCTTGTTGGTAGTACTTGTTATTTCTGAATACTTTAGATAGCGTCAATGTACGAAAATGAACAACAACAAGAACAACCAAGCATTGTGCAAAAACTAATCGATTTTAATGATGTGCAAGCACCGTTAAAAGAACGAAAAACATTGCTTGAAAATGACAATATGGACGATGATGAATTATGCAATGCATTTGACAAGTATAATGAAGAAATTGATTCGGAAACACGTCGAAATTGTTTAGAATATTTGGACAGTTTATTAAACGATGATGATGATGATGATGATGAACAAGAAAATAAATCAGAATCAATGGACAATGGTTGTGATACAAAATCAAAGCAACGAAATGTGACCATGTCACCGGTATTTCTCAATAAAAAAAATTAAACATTTTACCATATTTTTTCTCAACGAACAGATTCTTTTCCTTTTTATTTCTGAACACTATTTTATTACTCACGATTTAGGTGTGCAATACTTCGTTTTTTTCTTCTCTTTTCAACACTTGTCAGATATTCAGATAAAAATTTAGATTTATTCAAGAAAATGATTATTTAAGAATAGGTATCCTTTTTTGATCATGTGTAGTGCAAGTTTATTACTATGAAAATAGCGTTGGCTTCATTTAGATTATGATCTTCACATCAATCAAGTTATATGAGGTGATTAGAAGAATAGTTGAAAAATATCTTGAGTTTTCTGATTTCTATATCAATTCATTTTATGAAGAATCCAATTGCCTTCAAATTGTTTGTCTGACTTAAAAAAGTATAAAGTTTTAGAAAAATTTCATTTACACAGTTGTCTTCGTCGTTTTAATAGAGTCGCTAAACTCGTTCAATGCGGTTCATTGCGGTAAGCAAGAAGCTATATTTACTTCATTCCTATTAAATAATTTCCGAACCTCCTGTCATCTTTCAATATCAAAAATAAACTTTTTATGACGGTAGAAAAAAGATTCCCATCTGCCTATAGTTCATTATACTCATGATGTTATACTCATTGGTGTGCTCCAATGCTCAAAAATGATATGAATGGAAAGAAGAGACTCTTCTATGTATTACACTGGAAAGAAGAGTGAAAAAAGCGTGTCGTGGTTGGCTTTTAGATCAGATTCACCCTGTTAACGTGATATTCGAAATAACCGTTGAAACTTATACATCTGTAGTTTTATAGAAATGAAAAGAAAAAAATTTTGCAGGAACCATAGAGGATACAATATGCCTCGAAAATCTCATATCAGAACTTTTCATCATCTGCTTTATTAGGAGATGTCTTAAACATCTCTCTGACATGTCAATCATCGAGAATGTTGCAAACCAAAAATCGACTTTGGTATCGTGTATTCTGCTGGAAAATAGTGAAAAGGTCTATTATTGAATCGCACTAGTTATTTAACAAAAATAGAGAAATAAATTGTGGCCCTTTATTATGTACGCATTGCGAAGTTTCATCAGTTTTTGATCGAAAAAGGCTTATTTTATAGAGAATCCAGATAGGTCTGTCTACAGAATACATTAAGAATTAAAGTGGGTGTATAAATATGATCTGAGTTTGTGTATCTGCGTAAAGATGCGAAATTTTTCACGAGTTCATTTTTAGTCATTGCCTAAAAAAAACAATTTTGGGATTGTAAACGCAATCTAATCTAACGATAGTGCTTCTCGTTTTCAAAACTGAAACGATATATTACTGCGACAAAAAACGTGCTCAAACTGGACGGACAATTCTCAAGGTAAGTCAAAACATGTTTGAGAAAGTACTAATGCGTAGATTGATGCCTATTGTTCGGTACAAACTCTTCTCTTTTATTCGTCTAGTTTATAGTGATATTCAATATTACATCATCTTTCTAGTTTCACTTTCACATCCGTTTCTTTTAGACTTTTGTCGTAGAGATGGAAGTTTACCGATGAATAATACATTGGAAAATACACGTTGAACAAAACCATCTATAAATCGAAATTTTTTTCAATGTAATAATCATATTTGTCGAAGTACTTGAGACACTTTCCAAAAAAAAGATTCTAAAGAGTACGATGACTTTGATTTGAAAAGTACACAAAATTGCAACTAACTGTGTTATAAAAACATGAACAGTTTTTCAGAACTTTGTTTCAAAATAACACAATTTTGAAATGTAGTTGTCGATAAAATCTTCTTAGATGTCACAGACTGAATTCCTATTAGACGAAAAATGTTAGGTTCTATGAAATGATTTTATATATAAATTTTCAGCAGTCTTTTAATATTTGATGGAGTTTTCAGCAAAATTGTTTTTTGTGTCTCAAGATCAAAGCACGAATAAACACGATTATTATACTGAAAAATCGTCATCGACAGATGCTTTTTTGTACCCCACTTGTGACAAAAGAGATGGTATTGAAAGAGTTTCGGATTTGTGGAAATGATACTCATACTTCCGATACTCTCAGGAATTTTTAACGTACCTATCACTAGGACAAAGAGCATGTCTTCAAATCTCACGTAACACAAAATCTTGTGTTATCTGAAGGATACATTTTTGATGCAACGTGCGTGATACACGTACAACTGAGCAATTATTATTAATTTAATTCTTTGTGATGCTCATAATCTCTTCGAGAAGATAATTAGACAACTATCAGGTTCAACTACGTAAGTTAGTTGTAAACTAAGACCATTGATCGGTATAATTGTGATCCGGTACAGTTCAAGACTAACCGCTGAAGTGTGACGTTGTGATAGTTGTTATTTACACCGAGTGATAAACAAGATGTTAATTCTTTCAACCTGCGAAGAAAGAAAGGATGACTCATCCAGAGAGAGAAACAAATTTGCATTAGTTGTGAATATACCAATCAGCTCTTAATGCATGGTTAGATAAAGCTATCGGACTAGATCAATTAGAGCTTTTTTCAGATTAAAGCAAGATAAAAACATTTGAATAATGGATTGCTTAAATAAAAGATTCTTGCTTCTTCAAAGAAGGATTTTTACCATTGTCGATGTCTCAGTGGCTTTCTCTGCACCATTCAGATCTTTTGAAAAACAGAAAAAGCTGCAGATTCGATGGCCAGATATGAGTGTTTCAGTAGATTCAATTCAAATCGAGCTGTATTGCGGAGCACACGGGATACCAATACCCTTTTTCCTCGAATCACTGAATGACTACTAAAGGAAATTATTGTTAGTTCTAGAATCGCTTCTATGCTTGAACGTTAGTCTGCATAATTCTAACTATATTAAGAGATTAGTAATTCGACTGAGTTTTTCGTCTCTTACTAGAGTAGCTCCCATAATCATTATTGAAAAAAGCTTTCTTAAACTAAGTTTTTTTATATTAAGTTGGTCGATTTCTAGACAGCTGAAGCGTTAAGAGAAAATTAATTGAATGCTTCGTTATTCAAAATCACGCGCAATGACCGGTCTCTATTTTTTTTTTGACAGATCGTTTTTAGTTTTAGATTTCAGATCAAACTCTTCATTGTTCTGTCGAAATGTCATCTAAAGTCGTCGAAAAACCCGCTCTTGCCGGCGTCAAAAAAGGCCGGTGTGTCTCATAATGGTGATGTATAATATTATTGTTTTTTATCTGTTTTATCTCTATTTCAGCTTATATGTCAAAGCAGTGTTTGTCGGATTTCGTCGTGGTAAACGTAATCAACATGAAAATACCGCCTTATTAAAATTAGATGGAGTTAATGAACGACGTGAAACAAATTTTTATCTTGGAAAACGTTGTGCATACGTTTATAAAGCAAAAAAGTAAGATGTACACAGTTAATTTGCTTATGATTCAAGAAGATCCAATATTCTTCCTTAAACTAAAAGTACCTCTATTATAACCTCTTTCTAGTCGTTTAATATGACTGACATGCTTGTGTCAAGAGAACATATGTGTCTAAATTGCATTCATAAAACTGTGCGAAGAGACAAGTTTTATATTTTGTAGTATAAATCCTCGTCAAACTTAGTTATACACTGTCTTTATTATTCTTTTGTTTATATTAGTAAAACATTGGTTCCAGGTCAAAAACGTGTAAACCGAGTTCGAATAATATGGGGAAAGGTTACACGTGCACATGGTAAAAGTGGAGCTGTAAGAGCAAAATTCCGACGAAATTTACCACCAAAAGCAATGGGAAGACGTATAAGAGTAGTACGTTGCGTCTGTTTTATATAGAAAATTTGATATATATGCTAAATGCTCTATTTTATCTATTTTAGATGTTGTATCCTTCGAGAATATAAATTTATTTTAACGAAAAAGTTAAACAACTCATTGGATTGTTCATGTTTTCTGTTTTGTTTAAATAAAAAAGATCATTTGCTTTTCACTGAATTAGAAAAGTAAAAAATAAAAACGTTTTTTTTATTTGTTGTTATTCTGTGGTTTGTACAAGCTGGATGATAAATAATAAAAAAGAAACAGTATATTATGAAGACTAGTGATTACTATAAAGAGAAATCTATGCTTATATGTTCAAACTGGATTTTCTTTATAGTACGTTTTAAAGCTAGAAGGATATAACCAATACACTATCATAGAAATAATAAACTGTCTCTTCATGAATTCTTACCATCTTTTTTCCTAAAGAGTTTCCTATCGATAATTTGAAGAAAAACTTGTCTTTTTAGATATATTAAAGAGACTGCAGCAACATCGAAATGACTACTTCAACAAATATTTCCAAAAAACGGAAGGTATATATAGATGACTGAGACTCATTTGTGTAATTATTTGCATCATATGCATTTTAGTTTATACGTGAAGGTGTATTTCACGCTGAATTGAACGAATTTTTCACACGTGAGTTAGCTGAAGATGGTTATTCTGGATTAGAAATACGTGTAACACCACAACGTACAGAAATCATTATTATGGCAACTAAAACACAACAAGTATTAGGTGAAAAAGGACGCCGAATTCGAGAGTTAACATCTGTTATACAAAAAAGATTTGATTATCAAGAAAATACAATTGAAGTATGTTTTTTATCAGATATTTCTTTTGTAAAAAGAAGAATACAGATAAACTTTTCTTATTTTCTGTTTTAGTTATTTGCACAAAAAGTTGTTACACGTGGTTTATGCGCTATTGCGCAAGCCGAATCATTGAGATATAAATTAATGGGTGGACTACCTGTCAGACGGTAAATTGATACCTTAAGTAAAACCCATGTTGTATCTATTATTATTTTGTTCAGTGCTTGTTATGGTGTTTTACGTTTTATAATGGAGTCGGGTGCACAAGGTTGTGAGATAGTTGTTAGCGGTAAATTACGTGGTCAACGTGCCAAAGCAATGAAATTTGTCGATGGTTTAATGATACACAGCGGTGATCCCGTTAATGATTACGTACAAATGGCAGTAAGACATGTTCTATTAAGACAAGGAGTATTAGGTATCAAAGTTAAAATTATGTTACCATACGATCCAAAAGGTATAAAAATTCATCATTATTAACCTTTCACACTACTACATTGACTTTTTTTCTCTTATATTCAGAAGGAAAAGGTGTGAAAAAACCATTGCCTGATCATATCTCAATTGTACAACCAAAAGTAAGTAAAAACGGTTAAAACTTGGATAGACTTTTTTCTAAAATACTGTACATTAAAAGAATGATGCCTAGAGTTTGTCTATTAGATAATATTTGTTTTTATTGTCATTTCCCAAAAAATCTGAGTTACTTAGCAGTTAGTTGTAAAATGATGATTTATGAGTTAGCAGAGCGTCAATAAAGAAAGTTTGCTTTTTTATAATCAAAATAAAAATAATTTCTGAAAAATTATTGTCTTTTTTTCGTTTAAAGGAAGATGTACCAGTTGCACAACCACATTCAGAATCTAAAGAGAAAAAAATGGAAACATTACCACCACAACAACAGGTTCCAGCTCAACTACAACAACCAATTGGTGGATTGAGTGGACAAGGTTTAGGCCAAAATCTTCCACAACAACCTCAACAATCATTACCACAACAGTCACCGGGAATTTATGGTTAAAAGCGAAAGAAAGAAAAAATAAAATTCGCAAAATATTCATCAGCGTAAAGCAAACACAATGTTTAAAAATTTTATCCTTTCGTTTTGTTTCTATGATGAAGATGATGCTTGCTTTCTTGTGAGCAAAAATAAAATAAAAAAATACCGTTGATCGACCACTGCATGACATTAATAAAGTTAATAAAAAAAAACGCGTTAGATCATAACAGGAATACTGTAGCAACTAGGATTTATTCAGTATACGTTGTTTCAATGTTTGCTGCTAGTATTTCAACAGTGATACTCATTTTATTAAAAGATGGAAAAAGTTTTCTTTACAGATTCTAATAGTTAAGGAATGGTGAATCGTAAGAACACATTCCCCAAAGTTGTGGCTTCCATAATAAATAGAAAAAGCATAACGGCGTAACATATAGAATCACACGGAGACTAAAATTACCCTATTTCTTTGTGAATTTTTGAGAAATGGTCAGTTTTTAATAATTTGAATCAACGAAACTGGATGATTCTTTTTTTACTTTGAACGAAACAATATATTTACTATCATCTGAAAAAACAATTGTATACAGTTTTGCTATCAGGTAGTGTTTTGAATTACTATTTTACCACACCTTGTCGAATGAAGCTAATAATATAATATGTTGTGCCCTATTATGAATGTTTAATAGGGAAGGAAACAAGAGGAATTTTCAATTAGAAAATGATAACGTTTCCAGTTTTTGTTTTGCAATTAAGTAAGCTGATAGCATTATTTTATGGCTGCTTTTGAAACGACAGTCTATTACTTGTATTCTGTCGTGAGGGAATCAGATCACTACTGCCCTGCTGTGCCTTGATGTTGATTCATACGGCGCCCTTTTACAAATATAATACGTAGTATTTACGATACGCCTATAGAATCTGATACTAGTGAGCTTTTTTGGGATCGCTACCATTTCTTATGACTTCGTTAATATTTGCATTATTTATTTTGAAAAAAATAGAATTTATATCAACAGACGACAAAAAAATAAACAACATCAAATGACAAACAATCTGACTGAATACTATTTTTTTTAATTACTTTCATAAACTATTAGTTACTCAATCTTTTTAATAGATTCGTAATCATCGCTGGTAATATTTCCATCATTCCTGTTAAAATTCTGGTGAAGTTTTTCCAAATGTTTTTCATAGTGTTTTTCTAAACGTATAAAACCTAATCTTAAACTGACATAAATAATCAATAATTCTAATGTTAATATAACACAAGCATAAATTATATCTTTTTGCAAATGTTGAAGTTTTATTTGGTCTTTTAACTGTAACATATCTCTGTACGTGGCTTCCGACTGGAAAAAACCCATTAGAAATATGAATCCATGGAATGTATGATGTGACTGTCCGATTAAATCAAATGTACCTGGATGGAAGCGTTCAGGAAATTTCAACACAAATACTGTACCACTAGCTAGAAAATATTAAAAAAATATCTGTTATTTTCATCTATAAACTAACATTTGATAGTATAGACCAATCATATCCATTATTCCGTTCAATTTTTAGATGAACTAGTGATGATTCACTGAAATGATAAATACTTACCAATAAATGATAGAACTTCTGCGAAATGCCATTTTAGTGACGATTTACAGTTGTAACAGGCGATTATTTGCAATATAATTGGCCATATTTGATAAACATAAACGATTAGAACACCGGAACATTGTAATATTTTATGAACAAAAGGATATGGACGACGATAATAAAATTTACAAAAACAGGCTATCGATAGAGAATAGAGTGATAAACATGATAATAGTGAATAATACGTTGACTCATTAAATAATTCATAAACACTATCAACACGTGAAAAACGATAGTGAACTATTCCACTAATAAAACCATAAAAGTTAATACCTAAATGAGACAGAATAATTAGTTATTTAAGGTCTTGAAACTCTTGAAACTGGTAAAATAGTATCAAGTACATTAATTGTCACCATAAAAAGAACTTATCAGTTTTAAACACTAAATAATTAATAATTTTTTTTTTTGAAATGAAAAACTTGATAAAATTCAATATAGGCGTGTTGCATGGAAAACTTATTTCATAAATAGCTCGACTAAAGATTTTAGCTAGATTTTTAGCGGTTGGTTAAAATTATATTGATTTACAGCACCTTTTTCTATGCTAGTTACCATTTTCAATTAAATAATTTACATTGGATTTCAGCCGATTAGATAGATATCTGAGGACATCGAAACCTTGGTAGAAAAAAGCCATTTTTTTATAAAAAGATCACGGAAAGATCATAAAACTACGAAAAGAATCTACTTTTAGGCACTTTAAAATCTGTCAAATCCATACACTTATTCAGTTTTTCATATTCTTTCCAATCGCTTGTTGTTTGATTGTTTCAAGTTGTTTTCAATATGTAGGCCGAACATTTCTCCACAAGTTACCACCGTCGAAAAAACTTTTATACTCAAAACTATTTTCAGCATTAAATTAATTGATGTGAAAAGATGGTAGAAAAAATTCGGATTTTTTAGAAACTCTGCTTAGAGATAAATTAAAATTTCTCATTTGAAGGAGCATCGTTTAAAATCCTTAAGATACAAGATTTGGAAAATATGGTCGTTTGTGAGATTATTTTCCTATGCATCATTCCTATTGTAATCAAGCGTTTATACATCATATTGATATCGTTTTAACCATTAGAATTGAAACAGTATCGTCTTTCTGTCTGAGAAATTTTCATAACTTAGACAGAGACTTAAAAGTGTTAGTTACTTAGTAAAAAATATTAAAAAAAATTAATTAGTTTTGATGGTGATTTAAAATAAAAAATCATGTTTTTTGTTTTCAGCCTCTCATTTTCTTACAATAATTCTCATATACTTTGCCTAATCGTTATCTTTCAGCGACGATTTGTCTTTCGAAAGTGAACCGTTTGAATCTGCATTGAACAGTTCATCATCGTTAACATTTGAATTTTATTTAGAATTAAATATATCGTTTAAGCTGAGTAGAAATGACAAAAATGATCAGTTTTTAAGCACATCTACTTTACAAAATCAGTCTTTCATTACAGACTATCCTGTTAACTTTTTGTTTAGTCGATATAATTATAACTGTTCATAACTCAAAAAATTTTAAAACTCTTTATAAACATGATGTACCCAGCTCAAGAAATTTTTAAATTTTTAATAATCTGTTAAAATTTTATAACATGCTTTAGACGCTCAAATAGGACTTTCATTCTGTCTTTTTCTAGTATAGTTTACTTTTTTTTTTGGAATTGATTGAACTTACCAAGGTAGTCGAGATAAAATAATCTTAGATGATCTTGTAAATTTCGTGAGTGAAATAAATGTGCTTGAGCGGAACATAATAACATTACACATGCTCCAATGCCATTATAAATAATATAACTAATAATATACGGCGAAGATGTTAATTGAATATGATTAAGCATTTGTAAAATGATGATAAATGCCCCAACAAGATGAGTCCAAACAGAAAGAGTTTCATTGTGTAGTGAGAATAGACTACGATAATAATAGGAATACGGTTGATTTGGCAAACGAAAACCCGATTGAATATAAGGTTCAACATAAATATCTAAGACATCACTATGCTGTAAATAGGACATTATCGAATCACATTAAAAAAAAAACACTAAAACGAAACAAAAACTATCATCTGTTAAGAAATAAAATTGAAAATTAATGTAACAATTACTAAATAAAAGTATGATTAAACTCGTTTATAAATGAATGATTCAGTCTAATCGAATTTTTAGAAAAATTACTTTTAATTTTATCGTATAACTTCTGAAGAAGACCGAACATGAATTTTACGAACTGTTTCCAAGACGATGAAGAATACTTACACTTATGCCCATTCTCTTCGATCACTAAACTAGCTTTCAAGATTCAATCAAATGTTGGACTCGATCAAATGTCAGAAGTGCACATGTAATTGATGAGACGGACACTCGATAAATCAAAAAAAAGAAAAAAGTGGTAACGAAGCGTGTGATATTTTCCTACTGTAATTAATATATGTGCATTAGAGGGCCGCTTCTCCTGGAAATAAATATCAAGAGCAATAAGCAGTTATTCACCTGTGAAGAATTATATTTCCCAGAGTATGTGTTCGAAGTTCAAAATAAAGAAAGGGCAATTCTTGATCGAAAAATTTGATATAGAGTTTAAATGAAGAAAAAGTGTATTGACACGGACAAAAATCGTGAAGGGAAGTACATTTGTGTATGCACTACTCTAAAAAATTTATTGCTCCTTCTAAAAAGATGTTCCCGGCCCGCCCATGTATATATGTTAGTTCTTCTCTTTTCTGCGATTATTTATTATGTTATAGATAATTTCCTTTTTTCATCATTATCTCTTTAATTATTTTGGATTTTCTAACTAGATATATAAGAGCATAAAAACTGGAAGGATAAATAGTATCTACTCTAATAATTGCTCAAATCTTTTACTGTTGAAAACATTTGAATAATTTGTTTTTTATTAAAGAAAAGATCTTAAAAAATTGAATTTGATTTTAAGTTTGGTAGAAACTTCTCTCTCTCTCTCTCTCTCTCTGTTGAAATTGGATTTTCCGTAGAACGTTTTTTGTACATGTCTTAACGCCAATATATTTAATAATTTTCAATAATTTATATATGATGTCTGTCTCTATTTTATTTTCTATCACTATCGAACAAACAAAACGAGAAAAACACCATTTTTTTTTCACTTATGTAACCTGTAGACAACTTCGATGTACGCTATATCTGTTGTCTTTCTGACATTCTCTTTCTTCTGTACAAGAAAGACAAAAACAACAAAATATATTACTTTTCAAATGAAGAAGAAGGCAGTGGCATTACTAATAATGTGAAGATATCAGACCATTGGCAGTATAAACAGATAGAGAGAAAATCTCGATCCCACCAATTTTGTACGTTATTGTTTTCAATACAGGGGCAGCAAAGAAGAACGAACGAAAAAAGAAAAGAATAGAATGTTAAACCGAATACAAGGATATATTGATTGCGATTGCTTACAAATCAAATTAGAACAAAATACTCTTGTTTACAAACTTTTAGTTCAAAAGTCAGAGAAAATCAAGATTAATTTGGTATTTTTCAATAGCTTAAGATTTAGAACAATAGAGTATTCCACTTGTATTTCAAAAGAATAAAACTTTTATCAAAGCTTTCGAGACAGAGTCGATTGGCGTTATTCATTAATTCATATTCTCCGAGTTCAACAGTGAAAGCTTTTATAGGTTCTTCTTTAAGTGATATATTATAGACACATAATGCAGCTATTTTTCATATAAATAATTGTGGAAACTTAGATAAACTACATAAATTCTATGTTCTAGAAATAACATCATTTTCAAATGATCTTTGTTCTCCACGTGATTTTGATCACTAACAACATACTAAAGATAGAGAACAGATTATTCATACAGCCAAGTGCTTATACAATCGATGAAATTAAAGAAATGTCAGCGAGTACATTATTATTTCTCTCTTTTATATTACTCGCTATTCGAAATAGAATTAAAGAAATGTAGGTAAAAATTTATAAAATATCTATTAATACGAATTAACATATTTTTAAAATGAAGTTTCCATCAGCATATCCAGATATGCATCAGTTGCGCAACTGACCCCTTAACTGCTTCTTAGCTGTGCAGCTAAGAAGCAGTTAATTGTGACTACAAAACTGTAGAACTGTATAATTGGTACAAGTAGAAGCAGTATGTATCCGATAATTTGGCTGTTCGTGTGTTCCTGAAATACAAGATTGAAGATCAAATCAAAAACTAATATTCTTCTGTTTTACAATATCCCTTTTTGATGTGAGTAGAAATGCTGAATCATTGAAAAGGCGAGACTTCTCAGTTAAATTTCACTTGAAATTAAGACAAAATACAGCAGTACATCATTAACGTGAAAATGACTCTGTTCTCATATCGATTCGCTTAACGACTCCCACAAAAGGTGTATGTATATCAGTTTAAGTACAAACTTTTATACTTTCTATGTTTAGTAAGCGTGAAAAGTAGACCGCAATGATTTATGCATATCCTTGAGTTGCCAAATAAAATAAGCTTATGTTAAACAAAAATTATCGATATATTTTAAGCAAAACCAAAATTCAAAGACGTAACGAGTTAAACGTAGCTTTTTTTTCTTATCTACGTATTCGAATAAATCAGAAACTTTAGCTTTACGTATAATTTTTTTCAACAGTTATGAACAGCTTCGATTATCAAATGTACCAGTTTTAATCACAATAGCTTTTAATTGTACCAATTTTACAGTTACAGTTAACCGTAAATGCCGCATATCAAGCGAAGAAACATTACAAAATGGAATCAACTTCAGTAAATACGTTGTTACAAATACATAAGTGAAAGAGATTCTTTTAAATGACTTGATTAATTACCAGTAGGACTTGTCATTTAAAAAACATCGTTTTGAATATAACTATGATGAAATTTAAGAGACATTTTGCGAGGTTACCAATCTTCCCCCCCCTCCCATATCATCATGTTTTGATTCAATTTTTTCAAACAATGTCTCACACAAAAGAGCCCAAAAAATCGAACAATGTGCTCTCTTTGTTTTTCCTTTCATTGAATTTATCTAAATTCAAATTTAAATCATAAAATTCTTAATTAATTAGTGTTTTCAGACAAAACTAGTTTTGCAATTCTATTAAACAAACATCATATTATGTTGCAAAATCAGTCCAATTTCTTCGAGTTGTCAACGACTTTTTTTCATGAACAAAGTATAGAAGAAAGCAAACACTCTTTCACCATAGTAAAGTTTACACAAGTGTAACGACAACAAACGCTCTTACAAGAAAATCGTCTCATTCGTACTTTTTTTACGGTTTCTACTTGAGTTATTAGTAAACTACAAACACAGTATAATAGTAAAGGCAATCTAATGGCAGCTTTCCTAGTGAAATTTCTTGTACCCAAGATCTTGAGAACAGAAACTTTAGGATATTGAGTGAATCGAGTCAAAATGTTTCACAGTATGATGATGAAAATCTTTTTACATTTACTTTCTTATGTGATAGTCATAACCATTAGACATACAATCATATGTGGTCATAGACTCATTCCTAAACAACTTTACTCAAGAATGGAAAAATCTCGAGGTTATTCTGAGTATGAAAAGTTTCGCAGTTATATGTAAGGAAAGTGTGAAACAAAACGGTGATTCAAGAATTATCAAGATCTTGGTTCAAAAAATGTCAACATGTTTAAGATCTTGGTTGGAAGAAGTCTTACGAGGGTTGTTGTCGATCGATTGAATATTTAACGCGTGACGAATAATGGAGTAAATTACCAGAAAGTGCGTCCCACAATGAGACAAATAGTTAGCTGGGATTGTTGATGAAAGATAGAATCTCAGCAAAAATAGGACATCTGACAACCATGTCTAAAATCTACTCTTTCTAACAGAAAACAAGTGTGTACGATACTTCTAGACTGAGAAAAGCGAGTGCCAAACATTTTCACAACACGAAACGCATCTTTTCTACCTTTTTAATTTAAATTAGTCCCTCTTTATTGTCATTCTGACTAAATGTCTAGTCAGATAAACTCTATCATTTTCAAATAGGACGACAATATTCTTGATCCCAGAAAAATAGCACAATTGACCTCATATATTCAAATAGCAGAATAGGTTCCGATTTTTAAAAAAAATATTTTAGACGCTGTTGATCCCGCTATTTTTTTAATTTTATCATACCCAATTACCATGTACAACTGATCACCGGCATGTTTCTTTTTGTAACAGCACAATTAATCCCAGTTAGCCTCTAATAGAGAAGACGGTCTCTATTACTTTTCATAAGTTCTACTAAATACTTTTCCCAGAGCTCTTCGTCAATTCTATTGCATACCTTTTACACACCTTAGAGTGAAAATTTAAAATAAGATTTGATTGAAATACGAAGTCGGATAGACTACTTTGTCTTGGTAATAAAGTTTATTTATTGCACTTATCTAGACGTTTCGATTGTACGTGCGATCTTCTTCAGTAGAGCAGAACATAAAATTCAAATTTTTTAAAAATTATTTGATAAAAAGTTACATCAATTTACAAACTGTATACAAACGTGCGTACAGTAAATGTTACAAACTGTATTATAACACATTCTTTTATCCTTTATTTCTATTTCTCTTTTTCTTTTTCTTTTACTCTTTAACCTTTTCTTCTTTCTACTATAGAACAAAAACTATTTAAAAACAATGAAAAAGACAGAGAAAGTAGTTTAGATGTTTCACTTTATCCGAGCCGAGATTCAAAAATTAAACTGTACAAAACTAAACGTATCAAACCGAAGATAAAATATCCAAAAATACATAAAAAATCCATCGAGGACGAACGAAAAATCACTCCTTATAATTTTTTCTATCCTGTTTCCTAAACTCGTATCTATCATTTAGACTCTCATTGTATAGTTTCTGTAGTCGTTAAATAAACTTTATTATGGAGACGAAGTAATTCAGCAACAATTAGTAATAAACTTTCCACATTTTTATTGAGTATAAATAGTATACAAAAATATTCTAACTGTGCAGATCAACTTGAATATTCGTTCAGTCATTTGTTAAAGTTGCTTACACTGTTTTTGGTCGTCCACGTCCTTTTAGATTTCCAGTTTGAGTTGATCTTGGTCGAATATCCTCACATCGTCGTCACATCAATAGAATGACCGATATTTTGAATGATATTTTCTATATTGTGCATGTTTATACGTAATAGTTAACATTAAATTCTTCAGTTTATTTCTTGCACATACCATAGAATTTTGTAAAAGTTAATAATTGATTATCGTCAGTACATGTAGAAGCTTTTAAATACGTTTTACGCGACATACGCGCTATCTGTCACTCGTTCGCACTGCATAGTCGAAGAGAAAACAGAAAATGGCGCGAAAACGAAATCGTAATTTATATTCTCATTTTAGAATACAAAAATCTGCATATGATTTATAATATTTAGTTATCATATTCAATAATCAAATGCAGGAAACATTCATCAATGTGCATGAGATACAAAGTGAAATAATGCACATTTTTGTTAGCATCTTTTTTCTAACTTTTCTAACCATTTCTACTGGTGTGTAGAATATTAAATACTTATCAAATTGTACAAAAGCTTGCCTTGATCTTCAAACTTTGAAATTCGTATAATAGTACCTATTGTTTGTGTTGGTCATTTATAAATAGTTAATTTTCGCGAAGCTAACAATTGATTTTGTCTTAATTTGTGAAGTGAATTGTTTAGAACGTTGTTGTTGCTGTTTTTCTTTTAACAGTGAACATTGTTCAATATTTTTCATTTGTTTACATTCTAAATCAAATTTTTGTACATATGTAATTGGTAAATCTTCCAATAATTTGAATTTTCCATCTTCTATTATTGGAAATTGCTGTATCATAATATTCTCTTTTGATTCTTGACTTTTCTCACAACAAATCATATGTAATACACGGGCTAAACACTCAGTTGATTGACAGCAATCTTTTATCAAATTGTCTTTACTATCATACTGTATATGTTTATCTAAGCATTTTTGATGTATATAATTATTGCCAATTATTTCCGATGTTATTTTTAAAAATTGTTTACCACATAAATTACAGCAAATCAATAATCGATGTGTATTATTGTCTTTGAAATTCAATTCGTCTTGTTGTTGTATATATTTTTGTTGATGATCAACAATTGTTTTTTGATATGGCCAACATATTTCACAATAATATTCATTTGATGTTGAATGTGTATAATAAGTATCAAAACGTGTAAATTTCGTATGACAACGTAGACATGATTTATCTTTTGTCGCATGAACTAAATCCCAATCTTTGTCTTTACAACAAGGAATTGATTTACTTTTAACATTTTGAACTATGAATGTGTTGTCTTGTTCAATTGGAAGCGATTCTCTAGTCTCATTTTGAATGATTGAATCATTCTTTTCAGCCATTAATATTAAAGGTACGCCTATTGAGGAGAACAATTCGAACGGGTGATGTTGAGTAGGTCTAAAAAATTTTAAGAGTCAAGGTGAATCAAATCATTCACGAGGTTATAAATTGATTTTGGATTCGGACTATTTTTGTTAGAAGGGCCCTAATGAATAGTGAAATTCCTCGACTTGGTTCATCCCCATGGTGCTTGTTGCTGAGATACTGAAATTTTAGTCAGTTTTTGCCTATAGAGCTTGGATTTCGAGCAAAATTCGAAAGTCGGATTTTGCTCGAAATCCAAGCTCTATAGGCAAAAACTGACTAAAATTTCAGTATCTCAGCAACAAGCACCATGGGGATGAACCAAGTCGAGGAATTTCACTATTCATTAGGGCGCTTCTAACAAAAATAGTCCCAATCCGAAATCAATTTATAACCTCGGGTAGTTCCCTCGTCAGAGAGCAAAATTAAACGATACTATTCATTCTGCTCATTTTATCGACTAGTGAATCCAAAAGAGAAAACTCAAGTCGTTACAAGACTTTAGCACAGACGACTAATTTGGAGATTAGGGCTGCGTACATTGCATGAGAATAGACACGATTAACTATTGTCCCCAAACTACATGGATTTTTCTCCTCTTCGTGTTCTTGTTCAAGTCGTTCCTGTTTAATTGTATTTTCATCACTAGAAGACGTTTCAGTAGTAGTGTCTTGGCAATGATATAGTGCACTATTTCGTTGCTCTAATAATTGTTGTTGTTTTTCTTGCTTTTTATCGCGAATTCGTTTTATTTCAGTTTGTGCTTGAGTGATATCGATCATTCTCATTTCATCTTCAGTTATTTGTTTAAAATCACTTTGACATTTCGTCACTATTGATTTATTCTGTTCATTTGTCATTATTTTTTGTAAGATGGGACGATAGATTTTTGAATCAGATATATTCAAGGAGTTTTCTATACAGCATTGATTGATAAGCTCATAATCATTAAATTTATCACTAATAAATAACAAAACATTTTTATGATAAAGAAATTTTGAATAATTTTCAACCGGATACATCTGATCCGCTTTATCATTTTCTTACACGTTGAGGTTTGTACTATTTTGAATATGAATATCTTTTACGTTTTGTCCATCACTATTATCGATAAGATAGCGACACAATTTACTTTTATCTGATAAACGTTTTTTATTCTTCAAAAATAATCTTTGTCCATAACTCTCGACAGTACTAAACAGAAAACTTCATCAAACAAACTGTTCAATAGAAAACTTAATTTTTAACTTTTGAGATGGTGATGTTATGTAATTTAATTGAATATTTGTTTTATTTAAATTGAAAAAATTTGGTTGTCGTCGTTTCAATTTTATTGATTCTTTCGTCTTCAAATTAGCCACATAATATTCATCATCATTCGTTTCGACAGTCGTTTTTTGTAATTTTGTTGATAAATTACAGTCACATTTATCACAATAATGTTTCCCTTTGTCAATTTTATCAGTTTCGATATCGTTATAAAGAATTATATCACAATTTTTACAATAAAGATCTTGACAGTAAGTTGATGTTACATTCCCATCAGCAAGCTCTTTGATTTGTTTATCTAATATATATTGATCACCATCTGGTGATGATATACGGACTGATGGCTGATTATTTAATATTGTCGCGTCTTCTTTCATATGTGTTTTTAATTGTTTAACATATTTTTTAACCGTTGATACTAATGTCATTTGTTCAATAGCACATGTGTCAGTACTAGAGTATTTACATTTATCGCATAATAAACGTTCTAATCTTATTCCACCTACATGATAGATTGCATCAAAAAAAGTTTTATCATCATTTTTAAAACTCTTTTGACACTGAATACACTGTAAACAATTTGAATGATAACAGATACTATTCTTATTTGCCATCAAAAATAATTCACCAAACTTAATTACTTGTTTACAAACAAAACAATGATGGGATGATAAAAAAACCTTTTTCCAATTATTTTCATTTTTTAATAGTATCGACATTGGACGAAGGTTTTCGGAAACTATTTATAATCATTTAAAAAAAATAATGATCGTTCGATTGAGATTCAGAACAAACAACAGAGTGAAAATAAATTGATCTTTTTCTAGCCATCACATCGTGCCTAAATATTGATTGAGAAAGGCGGGTATTAAATCCGTGAAAATGTTGAAATTAGTTGATAAGTCACAACGATGAAAGCTTGATGATACGGTTGTTTAACGACTTTCCAATTAAGTCTTTCGAAGTGTTTAACGTCACTCACCTTGTCAAAGAAACTATTTGTTGAGATGGTTACTGTTGACAGCATTTTATCTTTATAAATATAATGTACAACATCAAATGTATAAACCTGATAATTCACTTGATGTTTACGCGACTGAACTGAAGAAACGAAAAGAACACTTTATAGCACAGAAAAAGATGACTTTTCTAATTCAGTTAATATACGATTCGACCGAAAGATTGACGTAAGATTAAATAATACCGAGCAAATTAAAACAACATTATTTACAGTGTGTTTTGAAATTTTTGTCAATATCAAAATATAATAAATAGTGAACAAATCAAATGAACAAACGTGTTTTGTATGTCTAATGAGAAACAATAAGTGTTTCTCGTTGTTAATGCAAAAGGGTTTATTTACCGTATTGAACATGTAATATAAACTAGAAGATAACATATCAACAGTTTTTAATAGTTACGAAGTAATAGAAAACACGTGTACATAACACAGAAACGAGATCCAGTTTGAATATCAATATATTTGACTAACAGATATGACATATACACAACAAAAAAGTTTTTTTTAAAAAAAATGAGAAAAAGAATCTGACAGCTATTTTATCTATAGAGGTGCAAATACTAGAAATACTACAAAATAAATCAGATATATATTTGTATCACACTATTAGACGATGAATTATATTACTCACAAACACACATTTTAGATAAAATCAATATTTTTTTTATTACATAATCTAAACTATGAAAAAATAGATACATTCCATTTGCTATATTTATCTTCTAAAAAACTGGTCTGAAAAGTTCTTTACTACTTTGCTTGTATTGTTCTTAGTAATTCACGATTGCACTGCTCTGCACTAAACAAAAAAAGAAAAAAATAGTTTGGACACTTGAAAACTTAGATTTTTGTGAAATGGTTACATATTTTTAAAATTATCTATCTTACTTTTCCAACAATGTTCGAGCTCTATTGACAATATTATGATCGTTTGGATGATGACTAATCTGAAAAGAGTGAGAGAATGCTGAAGTAAATTACCTTTGTTTTGAAAAATACTAACAGTATACTGTACCATATCATCATCATCATTGTCATCATCATCGCCAGTGTAAGCATAATCTAGACAACAAGTAAACAACGCATAAACTAATAAAAAATACTCATCATTAATTATCCAACATACCGGCAAGAATGCCTTGCGGTACGCAGGGTCTTAGCGTCTTTTTTGATTCGACGATCACTTTGTTTTCAACATTATTTGTGTTCTATAAATGAACAAATAAAATATTATTATTTTTTTAATTATCATAGAAAATCGTTAGACTCACTTGAAAATGTGTGATAGAATCAAGTGGAGTTTTATTTTTCAACAAAGCCAATTCATTCTCAATAATAATTAAACGAGCATTAAAATTTGGAATATCAGACGAAGATAAATTCTAATAATAAGCAAAGTTTTTTCATCATAGTTTATACAATGATATAATCATCATACATACTTTTCCTTGTAATAACAATGTTACATTATCTAGTCTAGAATAAACATCTTCCAGTTTAGTTTTTAATATTTTTATTTGTTCTTCAAGTCGACTTATTGTTGTTAAATTATTCACAGTGTCAGTTTGGCAAGCAACTGATTCTTTGTTAATAACATTATTCTCTTTAAATTTAAACCATGATATTTTTAAACATTGTCACATTTACATGAGAAAAACTCACCATGATCGAATTGTGAAAGATTTAACCAATTTTCGATTCTTTTTTGTTGTGGTAATGTCAATAATTGATTCTCTTGACCATGATCTTGTTCATTATTAACAGCATATTGTTGCTGTAACTGCTGATTCACATTATCATTCATTTCCAAGCCCATATCACGTAATGGATAAAACGTAGGAAATTGTTCTAAAGGAATAAATAGTTTTTATAACTTATGTGTGAGTACAAACTATAGCATACGTTGTGAAGTTGAAACAGCCTTTGAATATTTATCATCTTTGTCAAAGGTCTAAAACCACAGTAGAAATTGCATAATTAATACGGCAATGGCAAGGATAAATGTAAAGATGCTTTATTATTCAATTTAATAACCTACTGTGAAACCAACTTGACTTACTTTAACTAAAGTTGATACTGGCCTTTTGATATGTTGTGATTGTTGTTGACTTGTATCTTTACATTCATTTTTTATCATCGAGATAATATCGCACGCCATTTGTAATTTTCTTTCAGCAAATCCCGTTGTAAAAAATTGATCTTTCGTTAATGATGGTTTATAGTTGAAGTAATCACGTAATGCCTATTAAATTATCTGAATTTTTTGAATTTGATAAAAAGAGACAAGTAAATTATCTTACTTTATACATCGAATCAATAAATCCACTATCTGTTTTAGCATACAATTCACAATTGCATTTTGATAATAATTTTTTGGCAAATGCTGGACTATAATCCAAGAACACATAATGATAGATTTTCAGTAATTCACAAGGATTTCCGCATTTCAGTCTAAAATAAAAATAAAAGCAAAGTCACAACGGTTTAACATACTACTACTATCCATGTCAAAATAGAATGAAAACGGATGTTTTTTAAATAAATTTTGACGAAAAAGTGATAGAGAACTGTGGAACTTTGAATTTTTCTATTCAAAAGAGAAAATTGGGAACATCGATTCACGCAGGAATTGTATCGCATGCAGATGGTAGACATTATTTGTTTTGTTTTTAAGTAGATTGCTACAACAAAAAGAAACAGTCAGCTCCACGCGTTGAACACCAGCAGTTGAGGTCAAGACTCGGAAAATTGAAACATTACACTACATTTGTTTTCAGCTTGATTCTCAAAAACATCTAGGTACTTCTCAATCTAACATCCAAAATCATGTTCAACACGTTAAATTGACTGGTATATCATCTACATAAGGGTACAATTATTTGACAGATCTTCATCACTTTTTCAGTAAAAATTATTTAAAAATATTTTCGCGTCTATTTAAGTTTCAAATGGAGAATCGTGACTGTTTTTCAAGTCTTACTTACGATTTATAATCAACGTCTCGAAATTTAATTAAACGCAGCTCTGTTTGCAACTTTCTTAGACAGTTTTGTACATCACCTGTCGATGACATTCTTCAGTAAAAATCTTAAAGGATAAAACAATAAAATCAATCAAAAGTACATAGCTTTAATCAAGCAAATATCAGCAAGAACGATTCTCGTGTGTTTTTGTTAAATATAGACAGCTACTTTCTTAGACACTCTAGATCAAGTAAACAATACATAATCGAACAGCATCAAATCCAGAAAAGAAGGAATGAAGTTTATGTTATTTTTTATTCGTTTTCAACTATGAATGTTATTTTTGCTGTATGGTTATAATTATTATTTATGCAATATTTTTCCATTTATATTCTGCAAAAAGGAATTTTTGTTACAGTGGCTCCCCTGTAGTGCGTTTCATACAAATAGAAAAAGATAGACTTTTTTGTAGTTTTAAAATTAACCGTCAAAGTTTGAAAGTGAGATGTGGAATCAGCTTTTCATTTGAGAGATTACTGCGAAGACGGATTTTTTGATGTATAGATAATCAATACATTTGATTATCACTCTTGGTATTAAAAGGTGGGCTTCTATATCCGGTAAAAAATGACACGAAGAAAGAGTATTTGTCTCACACTGTTAGTTGGTCTCCGCTACTCTGTTAAGTAAATAATTAAAGCAAAATCCAAGAACCATAAATGGCATAAATCGAAATTCTCATTGCATCCAAGCAGCAGTTTAAGGGAAGAAAAGAAAAAATTCTGCTTTAGTGCCACTCCTGCATAGTATTAGATGCGTGTTCTATCGCATAGGTCTATTGCTTTACTTAGTTTGGTTAGTAGGACATGACAACTTTACCCATAGCAACGTCACTTTCTCAGCATCGAATCTAAAACGATGTGGTAGATGGTAGTAGACATTACTGTCTATTAAAGCGACACGATAATGTATCCACTTAGTGTTCATAATTTGTTGTTAATTTTAGAAAAAAATATGCTAGTGAATTTACTCACTCGGATAGTGAATTTACAGTACTCGGATGCATACTCATACTGAAAAATGCGAAGAGTACAAATCAGTATTCATGAGTGAGGAATGAGTATTGAGTTGTTATGAGTTGAATACTCATAACTTTTGGAAACAAAATACTCAGAGTGTTGTTCAACTGGTATTTTGATATTGGAGTGATCTGCGTACAAGGTAACCGACTATGGAGGGTCCGAATCTGAAATCAGTTTTAGTCGAACACGCTTTTAAAAGATCGCGACGGAATTGATATGCGATAGAAAATGCATACTGTAGTTATAAGATTCTTATATAAGTTTTTCATAAGAGCTACTATATGTTAGTGTACGTGGAGTTACTATCATTCACGACTATTTCTTCGAGATACTTGTTGATTGCTTCTCCTTGGACATCCGCGATGCAACATGTTTTATTCAGTCTTTTCTTCGAGAACATGGTGCATTCAGACCAATTAGAGTAAAATGCGTTTTGCTTCGGACTCTATGTCTCCAAAGTGTATAAAACAAAATAAAGACTAAGTTATCTTTAGCAAAAAAATGAGTATACAAACAAAAATAAAGAAAGCCACTGATTCATGCATTGTCCGACTTCATTGAGTTAAGAATCAGATTTACAAGGAAGACACCTTCCCTGCAGAAATGGTTGCAAAAAAAAAATACTTCTGAAGGTAGATGAGACATTCTCTAACTCTTCTCCACTCTTCACAGGAATTTCGTTAATGTTTGCAGCATGTGAAGAAAACATCCACGTTTGAACTTTCAGAGAATATTCATTCGTGTGAAATATACATCGAAACAAATACACGTGTGACATGTACTATATAAACGAAATTGTAAAGATGATTGAATCGAACGATAGACTAGGTGTATATTTGTTTGTTATCGTAGAAAAGTATCGTAGAATAGATAGTTGCAACGTGAAAGAATTTATATAGAGATGCAGATTTATTTCTGTATATAACTTATACGGTCCCTATAAAAAAATACTCCAGTGCGACATTGGTAAAAATTAGTGCGCACCGGTGCGTATGGCATGCCATCGGTCACTGGCACTGGCTGGCACCGGTGCCCAGCAAGTGTAGAACCCGTGCCGATATATTTCTGCCCAAAAAGTGCCGCACTAAAATTTATTTAATCAATTTAATTAGGTTTTTATTATGGTTGTTTATACTGAATTTTGTATTAGAGTGCGGCGCTGATCAGTATCACATTGACATGCCAAATCCATGCGGCATTGCCTCGGCACTAGAGACCTGCAACCCGACCCGACCGTTGGGTCGGGTTCGGTTAAGATGTTGTCTAGTCGGTTCGGGTTGAACATTTTGCAATGTAAAATATAGATAATAATTTCAGTTTTGTATTACTCGTTGAAAAGTTAACTATACCGGAATTCTCAGTTGAAATACTTATTTCAGAACAACTGCATTCACTAACGAGGCAAAGTCTTCAGATCCCCAACTTCGTTTTTAATGATATTATGCCAGTTAATAGAGGAAGAGTGAGCTGATAAAAACCGTTAAACGAGGACCCATATCAGTTCTTTCAAAAGTTATGAGTTTTTTATTCTAAAGGAGCACTATGTGTAGTAACAGTAATAATTGTGTAACCTAGTCAAAATAAAGAATTAAGAAGTGGAATTTTCTTTTGTACTCTCGTAAACAGTCTGCTAATACTACAGAAAGCGTTATGTCTTCCTAAATTCGCTTGTTATTGAACATTTCTTCTTGAAGGAAACCAATGTTTTTCCAATTCGTACAATTTTCAAAGATAACATTTCTCTTTTATTAGAAGTGATATTGCTAATTTAGAAAGATATATCGCCCAAGTTTCCTGGAATATTAGCAGACTATTAGCAAAAGGTCACTCGCCTGTAATGCGATGCTTTCCGCCAAACAAATAGGTAAATAAAAAGACATAAACTTAAGAATAAAACAAAAGAGTAAAAATGTATCGGGTCGGGTCAAGTTCGGGTTATGTTTTCTTAACCCGACATTCGCAATATTAGAAGTAGACTGGGGTATTAATATAGACAGAAATTGATAAAAAAAAAGTGATTGAAAACAAAACTTCGATACTGGTGCGCACAGATGCGAGATTTTTACATTTTTTCTGGCACTGGTGCGCATCGGTGCGAGATTTTTACATGCTTTCTAGCATCGGTGCGCATCCGTGCACAAGCATTACCGATAAAATATTTTTTTGTAGGTATGTGACTAAAGATGTCTACGTTTTTCTACACATTTTAATCAAGACCAAAACAGTGTCTGTTATACAAGGCACTTAGTTTTTAAAGTGATCTGAAGAACAATTTTATATTCAAACCTTTTTGCAGTTTATATCTACTTTTTTAAGAATTAAATCAAAAAAGTAACTAATTTACAGCGTAAGTATACAGTAGTTTCAGTAAGTAAGAGAGAAGGGCCATATAAATCCTTTCTATTTTACTGTTGCACACTTGAATTTTTTCTTCAGGCATTTTGGGCAAATAAAAATGAGTATTCTTCTCGAGAAATGCACTATATCTAAGGATTTCTTCCGTGTTTTTTTTCGCAATCGATGTTTACTGTTCGAACTCAAAAAAGAAATACATAAAAGTGAGAAATGCATCAATGGTTGATGTTTTTTATAACAATTGTGAGTATCCTCGGTGTAAGATCGCTTTGCTGTTAGTGACTCTCAGGATGTAGCGACGATCAGTTCGATCTCGTTTGACGCTCAGAGGATTGAGACTCAGTCACTCCGCCTCATTCACAGAATATTAGATTGGCTCTAATAACGAACTGATTCTAGCGATATAATACACATTCTCTGAAAGTTCAAGCGTGAATGTTTTCTTCACATCAGGCAAACGTTACCTTATCGGTAATATTCACACGCGAATTATAAAACGTCAACCGCTCTCACTTTTATTTTGAGATAAAATGCCAGTTATACATCGAGCCATAATTGAGAAGTAGAACATGGGAGAACTTAGAGCAGTTTGTGATTGAAGCTGTTTTACAAATAACAGTCCACATTTTTCTAAAAGTTCAATAAACCGTTAACATAATTCCTATGAAAAATGGAGAAGAATTAGAGAAAAAATTATTTATAAATAGAATTGCCTTGCACTCATCTTAACCTCGAAACGAGCCCGAGGTGAATGATCGACCTTGATTGTATTATGCTCCTGAAGAAAATTGGGTAAAACATGGTGAAATCAGTGTCTCATCTACCTACAGAAGTATTTTTTTTTGCAACCATTTCTGCAGGGAAGGTGTCTTCCTTGTAAATCTGATTCTTAACTCAATAAAGTCGGACAATGCATGAATCAGTGGCTTTCTTTATTTTTGTTTGTATACTCATTTTTTTGCTAAAGATAATTTAGTCTTTATTTTGTTTTATACACTTTGGAGACAGAGTCCGAAGCAAAACGCATTTTACTCTAATTGGTCTGAATGCACCATGTTCTCGAAGAAAAAACCGAATAAAACATGTTGCATCGCGGATAATCAACAAGTATCTCGAAAAACTAGCCGTGATATTTTCTTTTTTGTAAGTATACTGTATTGATGATGGCCACAGATTTGTTGCACGTAAATCGCTCACCTATACCCCAATTCTCAGTCTTTAGTGAGACTGCTATTGAATGTGCAAAAATCGGGTACCTATTGGGTACCCTGAGACAGTAATGAGAAGTCACAAAGTTTTGCAATACATAATTTATTAAAGAAGAGTTTAAAAAAACCTGAATTTCACCGTAATAAATCCAAACATTTTTTTAAGTAATTTTGTTTTTGTTTTTAATACTTTCTTATTAACAAAAATTTCCAAATATATCGAATAAAAGTTGAAACGTTCTATCCAACTAAAAAACAATCTTGAACCTTTTTTCATAACTCAATTAATCTCACTAAATGATGAGGCAATGAGCTATCCCCTTGGAGGTTAATCCGGAGTTCCCATTCCTCAAAAGTAGGGCTAATTAATCAGAAAATCCTATATTAATCCCCAGTTTACTTTTTTTGGAGATTCGACTTCTACAGAAGTAACGATCTACCCTAAATCAAAGAGGATAATCGAGTGTCCAGGCCATGGTTCTGTATACATTGTGGTTTGTCCGGGTATTATAACCTGCTAATTTCGTTAGAGTGAAGTATCTTACCTGCGTAGAATACTAAGGGATTTAATATCTGTGTACCCGGGGGTAAGGCTTACGTTAATTATAATTCTGAACATTACTTCCCACTGTGGTTTGAATTAGCCCTAGGAGATGTATGCAATCTAGACACGCTGACGTATTTTATCCATATGCATCAGTAAAAGGCTTAAATCCCGAGAGATCAAATCTTATAGAGTATATGCAAGAATCTTATGAATTTCTTAATAAGGCAGTCGATGGAAATGTGTAAGATATTGATAAGAATCTTATATAAGAAACTGATAAGATTTCTATAAGATTGTGATAAGATTTATAAGAAGGATATGGTACAATTTGATCACATTCTTTAGTGATCAGTACCTTATATTCTACTACTTTCTTACTATAATCTACTGTTTCATACGTGAATAAAATAATTTTCTTTCCACTTATTTAATTTTTCTATAATAAGACCTAAGTCCCACGTGGACAGTCTCATGACTCGTCCTTATTGTCTCTTGTAGATCGGATTTACTTCTCCAAATCTATCACGACTATAGGAAGAAAATGAAGTTCCAAAAATAAAAATATGTGATACGAGAGTGCAGGGCATGACATGCTGCCCGTTTGCATACATCTCGCTTTTTCAAACCGATCTCTAGGAAAATGCGCTACTTGAGATCCTTTTTTTCTATACATTGAGGGCCCAAAAAAGCATAGTCGTTTTTGTTTTGTTCAAGCATTGTTACAGTATGATTCATTTCTTTCTTTCTCGTTCTTTGATATTATACATATATGTTCTGTATGATATCAAAGAACGAGAAAGAAAGAAAGTACTGAACAAAACAAAAACGACCATGTTTTTTATGACCCTCAGTGCAAAGATCGGATTCATTTCGGACTTCA